TCTCTTCGAACATCCGTTTACAGTTGCCGAGGCCATTCCACCGCAGTCAATTGGTGGTATGCATGCGTCTACTTATACTGATGATACTGGCACAGATGTTCCCACGTGTCAATACACGTCATCAATGCTTCCATCCCTGCTTCTCTTCTGCATCTACACGTACTCCTGCCCAATTCGAGGCCAACGCGGAAACTGTGCAGGTGGATCCGAACACCCTACCTAAATGAATGTCTCCGCATCTCGGAGGGACCACTCGAATAGAATCAGGCAGCGACGAAGAGGCCGATCGAATCCTTCCTGCGGCAGCTCCGCGTTGCAATCCCGAATCCCAAAGTGGCGTCCTGCTTGCGGTGCAGCTTGCTGCCTCCAGCGCGTCCTCGTGCACGACTAGCGCCTTCGATTATGACAATCGCGCAATGACAAGCGCAATGACTCGTCATGATTGTCTCGTTGCGAAAATCACAACATGGTTGCCTCGAGGGACATAGCAGCCATCATTGTAAGCACAAGTAAGAGCGCCACCATGACGCTCACAACTTTCGTCGCCCGATCTGCCTGTGCACCGCCCCAATCCACCGCCACCAGCATAGCAGCTCCGACCTTCACGGTCAATGCCATCCGTTTACACCCGTTCGGCGTTCCCTCCAGACCCTCCCCCTGCCCCTCCCCTTCCGCCCTCCGCCCCGTCCTGCCACGACTCACCAACAGGCTACATGCTACATCGAAAGATATTGCTGCATCGTGCTAGAAACTCCCCAGTTTCCTGCGGGAATGGCCTCGAGGGCCCTGCCATTTCGACTCTTCAGCCACATGCGAGGACTTGCTGGCGATTCATTGAGGGAGAGAGGGGAGAGGAGATGGAGTAGTAGGAGGGAGGAGGGAGGAGGGAGGAGGGAGGAGGGAGGAGGGAGGAGGGAGGAGGGAGGAGGAGGAGGAGGAGGAGGAGGAGGAGGAGGAGGAGGGAGGAAGCACAGGAAGCGGTGGAAGCGGAGGCGGATGGCAGGGAGAGAGGGAGAAAGGGAGGGAGCAGAGAGGAAGGAGGGAGGGAGGGAGAACGGAGGAAGGATGGAGGGAGGAAGGCAGAGCGAGAAGGGACGAGGGCAGAGACAGTGAGGAAGAAGGGATGAAGCAGGGAACTGGGAGGAGGAGGAGGAGGAAGGAGGGAGCAGGGAAGAGGGAGGGAGGGACCGCACCATCCATGTATATGAAAAAGGACGTTGGCCGGGTGGGCGGGCGAGTGGGAGGCTGACGAGGGGAGTGGCTTCGAGAACGACGGCCGAGTGGCCGCAGAGGAAGACGCCGGCGGGGAAGCGCGCACGGAGCCGCAGCTGCCTGGGAGGCCAGGGCGAGAGGGCCGACGAACGAGCGCAACAACAGAGAGAGAGAGAGAGGGAGAGGGAGAGAGAGCGAGGCCTTCTCCTGGGCTGCCGAGGCCGCTCCCACCGCGGCGTCCACCTGGCCCGGAGCGGGGGGGGCGCCCGGTCTCCGGCTGGGGCCCTCGGGCTCCTCCTCCTCCTCCTCCTCCTCCTCCTCCTCCTCCTCCTCCTCCCCCTCATCCTCCTCCCCCTCCTCCCCCTCCTCCCCCACCTCCTCGTCCTCCTCCTCCTCCTCTTTCTCCTATTCCTCCTGCTGCTCCTCCTCCTCCCTCCTCGTCCTCCTCCTCCTCCTCCTCCACCCTCCGCCCCCCTCCTTTTCCTCCTCCCTCCGTCCTCCTCCTCCTCCTCCTCCTCCCTCCTCCTTGTCCTCCTCCTCGTCCTCCTCCATCCTCCCCCTCCTCCTCCTCCTCGTCCTCCTCCTCCTCCTCCTCCTCCTCCTCCTCCTCCTCACCCTACCCAGGGACCTTGGACGCGCAAAGTGGGCCCGTCGGTCGGAAGGAGTGGGCAGAAGCATGGAGCAGGAAGGCGTTGCGTTGAAAGCAGATGGGGTCCCCGCCCGCCCCCTGATTGACTACCTACCCGACCACCCCAACCCAACCCGAAAACCCGAATTTCGGGTTGGGGGGGTACGGCTTCCATATGTATTTTCTCGATGTTCCCCGAACCCCCCCTTGGAAATGGAGGTCAATTTGAGGCCTTCGGGTTGTGTTGGGGTGGTTTGGTGGGTGGTGATGATGAGGGAATGGGGAGAGCCGCTCGATCATTGAAGCAGGAAGACGCCTAAAATAGATTGGGATCCGGAAATCCACGAATACCCACTTTCAACGACGGGCAAACACGGAACAAATGGGTACAATGCCCAACAACAAATGTTGTCCAAAACCATCAGCAGCCGCTGTTGGGCAGGCGGCCTTCTGTCTCAAATGGACACCGTCCGCGGCGACACCGACAGCGAGTCCTGTTCAAAGTGAACAGGCACTGCTGTCGGTATTAGTACCCATTCTTTCCATACCAATGTCGATCGTCCTGGTGGGTGTAAGATTTCGAAACACCTGGCTGGAGCTCAGAATTTGAAGAATGTCTGCAGCCAAGTGAACCCCAGCGGGGGTGTCCGATACCCCAGCGTCGGGTCGACCTGGTGGAGTAGGGCTCGCAAATAGTCTCAGAGGTGTTATACTGTTCTGGTGATGTGATAGACCCACGCGAAGGGAGCACGTCCAATGACACAACCTCACCCCGCACGTCAGAAGCCCAGCGCGACGCCCGGCCAGCAGCAGCAACGGCAGAAAAAGGAAAAATACATACAGCAGGGAGCAAGGCCTGCGATGCAAGATCGAATCGGGATCGGAACATGGATCGCATCGGACTGCATCGGCCCGCAATGGGCATCGAACCGAATGGCACACGCCAATGTACCCCGACTACGTACGCCCCGCATGCCTCGGGCCGCATCGGACCGTCGGAAACTCGATACGGAATCGGATCGATCCACAGGGATCGACATCGAATCTGAGTGCAGGTGGCCGCGAAGCACGGGGTCTGCTTTCGCGTGGACGCCGTCGTGGTCGTCGTCTTCGTCGTCTTCCTCGTCGTCGTCATAGCCGCCGTCGCCACCAGAAGAAGAAGAAGAGAGGGAAGGGAGGAGGGGAAGAGGAACGGGGAGAGCAGGAAGAGGACGACGACGAGGGGGGGGGAGGAGGAGGAGGAGGAGGAGGAGGAGGAGGAGGAGGAGGAGGAGGAGGAGGAGGAGGAGGAGGAGGAGGAGGAGGAGAGAAGGGCCAATGCTCGGATCAACTCCCCACGAGCACGACAGCCGCCGCCAGTCGTCACCAGGACAGCTGGCTTCCCCCCGTCCCTTTCGATGCTCATTCTGGGGACCTTCCTGGAGCCACTCGCTCCACTCGTGCGTCGAAGCTGCGTCGAACGTCCGTCGACTCGTCGAGTCGAACTTGAGTCGAAACTGAGTCGAACCTTAGTCGCACCTGGGTCGAACCTGAGTCGAATCTGAGTCGAACTGGAGACGAACTGGAGACGAACTGGAGTCGAACTAGAGCCGAGCAGATCCATAAAGTGGACCCCAGGAAGGTCCCCAAAACGAGCATCCCACTCCCTCCCTCCTCACCTTCAAGACGTGTCCCCCATTCGGTCGTTCCTCCTTTACATGTTGCTGTTCCTCTTGACCCTCATCCCAGCTACCGCCGTGAGAAAGAGGGGCTCGAGAGCTTCGCTCCACCCGAAGAAAAGAACCACTCCGCATCCCGAGTCCTCGGGCTTGCCGTCGCTCGGACGTCAATTCCCCGTGCACGTGTCGGTTTCGTGCGCTCATGTTTCGAAAGATGACCCAGGCCGGGATGCTCCTCGATGGTCCGCGCCGAGACAACACGCACACGTCCGAACGATGCCAGGGGGAGGAGCGAGGACGAGTCAGCAGGGCGGAGGAGGGCTGCAGCAGGACGGGGGGGAGGAGTGAGCGGGAACAGCCAAAGAACCAGGAGGGACGAGGAGGAGAGGCAGCAGCAGCGGAATGGACGGGGCCCGCTCCTGCCTCTTCGCCGTCGTGGTCGTGGTCGCCGCCGGCGTCGACGTCGTCCTCATCCTCGTCCTCGTCCTCGTCCTCGTCCTCGTCCTCGTCCTCGTTCTCGTCCTCGTCCTCGGCGTCATCATCGTCGTCGTCGTCGTCGTCGTCGTCGTCCTCGTCCTCGTCCTCGTCGCCGTCGTCGTCGCCGTCGTCGTCGTCGTCGTCGTAGCCACCGTCTCGGCGGCGGCGGCCCCTGCGCGCGCCAGCGCAACATCGCGCGCCATGGCACACGGGGCGCGCGTCTGGCGGGCGGCCCACGGCCTGGGCGGGCGGTCCTCGGCGCAGTCGAGGGCGAGGAGGGGGGCGAGGAGGGAGGCGGGGAGGGAGGCGAGGAGGGGGCCCTCGGCGTAGTCGAGAGCGAGGAGGAAAGCGAGGAGGGAGGCGAGGAGGGAGGCGAGGAGGGAGGGAGGCAGGAGAGGGCGAGGATGGGGGCGAGGAGGGAGGCGGGGAGGGAGGCGAGGAGGGGGCCCTCGGCGCAGTCGAGGGCGAGGAGGGAGGCGAGGAGGGAGGCGAGGACGGAGGGAGGCAGGAGAGGGCGAGGAGGGAGGCGAGGAGGGAGGCAGGCAAGGAGGCGAGGAGGAGACCCTCGGCGCAGTCGAGGGCGAGGAGGGAGGCGAGGAGGGAGGGAGGCAGGAGAGGGCGAGGAGGGAGGCGAGGAGGGAGGCAGGCAAGGAGGCGAGGAGGAGACCCTCGGCGCAGTCGAGGGCGAGGAGGGAGGCGAGGAGGGAGGCGAGGACGAGGAGGCAGGAGAGGGCGAGGAGGGAGGCGAGGAGGGAGGCGGGGAGGAAAGCGAGGAGGGGGCCTCGGCGCAGTCGAGAGCGAGGAGGAAGCGAGAGGGAGCGAGGAGGAGGAGGCAGGAGGGAAGCGAGGAGGAGGGACGCAAGAGGGAGCGAGGGGGGGCGAGGAGGAGGCGAGGAGGGGCCCTCGGCGCAGTCGAGGGCGAGGAGGGAGGCGAGGATCGAGGAGGCAGGAGGAGGCGGGCGGAGGAGGAGGCGAGGAGGGAGGCGAGGAGGGAGGCGAGGGAGGGAGGCGAAGAGGGGGGCCCTCGGCGCAGTCAAGGGCGAGGAGGGAGGCGAGGCGGGAGGCGAGGAGGGGACCCTCGGCGCAGGAGAGGGCGAGGAGGGAGGCGAGGAGGGAGGCAGGGAATGAGGCGAGGAGGGGGCCATCGGCGTAGTCGAGAGCGAGGGGGGAGGCGAGGAGGGAGGCGAGGAGGGAGGGAGGCAGGAGAGGGCAAAGAAGGAGGCAAGGAGGGAGGGAGGCGAGGAGGGGGCCCTCGGCGCAGTCGAGGGCAAGGAGGGAGGCGAGGAGGGAGGGAGGCGAGGAGGGAGGCGAGGCGAGGAGGGAGGCGGGAGAGAGGCGAGGAGAGAGTGACCTCGGCGAGGGAGGCGAGGGCGAGGAGGGAGGCGAAGGAGGGAGGCGAGGAGGGGCCCTCGGCGCAGTCAAGGGCGAGCAGGGAGGCGAGAAGGAAGGGAGACAGGCAAGCGCGAGGAGGGAGGGAGGCGAGGAGGGAGGCGAGGAGCGAAGACGGAGGCAGGGAATGAGGCGAGGAGGAGGAGGCCCTCGGCGCAGTCGAGGGCGAGGGGAGCGAGGAGGGAGGCGAGGAGGGGGCCCTCGGCGCAGTCGAGGGCGAGGAAGGAGACGAGGAGGGAGGCGAGGGAGGGAGGCGAGGAGGGGGCCATCGCGCAGTCGAGGAGGAGGGAGGCGAGGAGGGAGGCGAGAGGAGGGAGCGAGGAGGCGGAGGGAGGCGAGGAGGGGGCGAGGCCGAGGAGGGAGGCGAGGAGGGGGCCTCGGCGCAGTCGAGGGCGGAGGGGGGGCGAGGAGGGAGACGAGGCGGGGGGCGAGGAGGGGGGGCGAGAAGGGAGCGAGGACGGATGGAGGCAGGAAAGGACGAGGAGGGAGGCAGGGAGGGAGGCGAGAAGGGGGCCTCGCGCAGTCGAGGGCGAGGAGGGAGGCGAAGAGGGAGGGAGGCAGGAGGGAAGCGAGGAGGAGGACGCGGGAGGGAGGCGAGGAGGAGGCTGTGAGGGAGGCGAGGAGGGGCCCTCGGCGCAGTCGAGGCGAGGGGGAGGGAGGCGAGGATCGAGGGAGGCAGGAGGGAGCGAGGAGGGGGGGGCGAGGAGGGAGGCGAGGAGGGAGGCGAAGGAGGAAGGCGAAGAGGGGGCCCTCTGCGCAGTCAAGGGCGAGAAGGGAGGCGAGGAAGGAGGCGAGGAGGGGCCCTCGGCGGGGCGAGGAGGGGGCGAGGAGGGAGTCCTCGGCGCAATCGAGGGCGAGAAGGGGACCCGCGACGCAGTCGAGGGCGAGGAGGGAGGCGAGGATCGAGGGAGGCGGGAGAGGGCGAGCAGTGAGGCGAGGAGGGAGGCGTGGAGGGAGGCGAGGAGGGAGGCGGGGAGGGAACCCGCGACGCAGTCGAGGGCGAGGAGGGAGGCGAGGAGGGATGCGAGGAGGGAGGGAGGCAGGAGAGGGCGAGAGGGGAGGCGAGGAGAGAGGCGGGGAGGGTGGCGAGGAAGGGGGCCTCGGCGCAGTCGAGGGCGAGGCCTGAGGAGGGAGGCGAGGAGGGAGGGGGGCAGAGAAGGGCGAAGAGGGAGGCGAGGATCGAGGGAGGCAGGAGGGAGGCGGGCGAGGAGGGAGGCGAGGAGGGAGGCGAGGAGGGAGGCGAGGGAGGGAGGCGAAGAGGGTGCCCTCGGCGCAGTCGAGGGCGAGGAGGGAGGCGAGGAAGGAGGGAGGCAGAAGGGAGGCGAGGAGGGAGGCGAGGAGGGAGGCGGGGAGGGAGGCGAGGTGGAATGGAGGCAGGAGAGGGCGAGGAAGGATGCGAGGAAGGGGGCGAGGAGGGAGGGGGCCCTCGGCACTGTCGAGAAGGGGGCCCTCGGCGCTGTCGAGAGCGAGGAGGGAGGCGAGGAGGGAGGGAAGCAGGGGAGAGAATGCCGTTGGAATGCCCTGGGAAGCAGCAGTCGGGCTATGACGACCGCCTCTGCGGCCTGCTGCTGCTGGCGCTCTTGCTGCTCGCTGCCCTCACTAACCTCCTCGGGCCTGGCAGCAGCGGCATCAGCGCTGGATCGGGCCTTGCACCCTTCGAGAGGGGTGGAGGGAAGGGAGGGACGGAGGGATCGAGGCAGTGGAGGCGAGGAGGGGAGGGAGGGAGGCAGGAGGGGAGGGAGGAGGGGAGGCGAGGAGGGAGGGAGGCAGGGGAGAGAGGGAGGCAGGGGAGGGAGGGAGGCAGGGGAGGCGAGGAGGGAGGGAGGCAGGGAAGGGAGGAAGGGAAGGCGAAGGAAGGGGGAAGCGTCGGGCCTCGAAAGGGGCCCCCAGTAAGCTCCCGACAAGCTCCAGGAGTACTCCAAGAGACTCCCAAGAGGCCTCCTTCTCCTCCTCTTCCTCATCTTCCTCTTCCTCCTCGTCCTCTTCCTCCTCCTCATCCTCCTCCATCCCCACCTCCTCCTCCTCCTCCTCCTCCTCCTCCTCCTCCTCCTCCTCCTCCTCCTCCTCCTCCTCCTCCTCCTCCTACTCCTCCCTCCTCCTCTCCTCCTCCTCCTCCCTCCTCCCCTCTCCTCCTCC